GCTCCTCGTGAATGCCATCACTTCGGTCATCGAATGTTTTTCGTTTTGAAATAAGCGTCATTGGGTAACTCTGGGTTCGGTGGCTTAGTATTAAACACTCACTTCGACGGATTTCGAGTTATGGGACTCTCCATGCCAAATAACATCGAAAAGGGCTGGCATCCTGCAGATTAGGCGACGCTCTGTGCTGATCACATTCCTTGTGACAGTTTCTTTTTCTAGCCGACATTGTTCTGAATAAAGTGGAAGTCATCACATCTTTGCATTGGAACATGAATATCCACTCTCATTGAAAGGTGTCGCACCTTGCAAAGAAGGTCTCTACCTGCTTTTTAATTTTGAACACGTAGAGGTGTGCTGTTCTTTTTCCAGGCATGGACTACGCCTTCCATGATGACATAATTCCCTATACTTCCAAGAATGCTCTTCCTTTGAGAAACGAATACTTCGAGGAATTTCTGCGCTTTGATCCAAGCAGAGGTGGGTTCTCTGTCTATTGTCACTTCTCGCAAAAAGTTATTTTCCTTTTGGTACGTTTTTATGCAGAATCACAATGAGCATTTATTGCTACACGATTAAGTATGGAAGCCCCTTGGTCGCCTCATTGACCCTAGTCTCCTTATGGTTTGGATAACGTCGCCTAATCAAATGTTCTCACCATCATAGGAAAAGGCTTTTTTGGCTTTTAGAACCTCATTTTTGCCCAACTGAGCGTTTGCAGGGGTGGTTAGAGGCTCGGCAATCTAGCTTGGAGATGAAGACTGTGCATCGGGAGACCACAGAAGGTGTTCGTGTCACCGTGGTTCCCTTTCTCATGGGACAGCGCAAGTTCCGTGTAAGTCGTTGCCGGTTTCATTAATGCTTGTACCGTTTCCGGTGTACCTACTTCTTGAGGTTCAAGTGGTGCACTTTTCTAACGTTTTGGTAGTCGTATGAGGTGGGTAAGCTTCTATATTCTTTTAGTTTTTAGTTCGGCTTTAATTTTCATCGTCAATAAATCTGTATGGAGGAAGAAATTTCGGTCGTTAACGGATTCACCCCTAAAATTGGGTTTTATGACTACGAAGTATGATTAATGCAGGATCAAATGGTTATCTATTACTCTCATTCCAATGTCATTAATGTCCTTGCTTCTTTGAAGACCAGAATTTTAAAGCACATTTCTTAACTTATACCATCCATTTTCAAATTGCAGTACTCGGAGAAGACGCTAAACTACTACGTAAGTTTGAATCTTTGCACATACACCTCACGTCCCCAAAAACTATCCATCTTGCGTGTTAGCACTCTGTAGTGACCTAATGTTAACATAGGGAGACCTTTGGAACGCATGTAATTATTTCCCTACTTGAATTATGAACCATCAGGTAGATCTGCGTCAGTTCATTGGCATTCCTTATTTTACGCTCCGCTGCCCTTCAATTTTTAAACATGCAAATTATTGCCCAAAGCTGGTTGGTGTACCTTAAGATCATCTGCTCTTTAAACGGGTAAGGCTTGAAGAAAATCCAGTTTTTCCCTCTTGCACCAAATTTTCATGAGATGGTTTGCTCTCGAAGCTGAATGATGAGATCGTACGTCGTTCCGTTCGCATCCTCTGCGCTCTCCTGATCAGACCTCTTGACACATGTTGGAAGAGAAGTAGCCCGAAATTTGTGAACGCGGTTATATTATGAATAATCAGGCAAATTTGTTTGACCATCACTATTTAAGTGTAACTGAAGCATTTATTTTTTGTGCAGTGGCGTTATCTGATTCGACTAGAGAATTTTACGGACGAGTGTCTGCAACTGCGAGAACGCTTCTGGAAGCTCTTTTCCATCAACGGTAGTCTCGAGTCCGTCTCCGGCAAAGGCGTTGTCGGTGTGGTGAGCAACATACCACTTATGCGAATCCAGTGCGTGTCATTTGCTAAATCTCTTCCCCACTATTTTAGCAACCTCTTCTGTCTGTACAGAGCCCAGTTTTTCAGTATCACAGCCACGTCCAGGTGCCCGTTCCATGGGCGCACATGTGGGGCCAATTTAGGCTGGAGAAGCCCAATGGGACCACGGTTGATGTTAAAATACCTGTCTTTCCGCTCTGTGTTAATGATTTTCAGGAGGACCATGGTAGTGCCACTACTGATTCTGGTGACAGCACAAAGTGATACTCCTGTTCGCTTATCATTTGTACTTGTGATTTCACAAAATGAAAAGTGTTCCTCAAGTATTACCTTTGTCATTATTGAATATTGCTAATGCATAAGCTGTTTCCAAATACGTGTAATGCTTTTTAGTTAATTTGCCACTGGTTTCTGAATTCTGGTTATACTATATCACTTTCCTTCTACTTCAGATGGTTTGTTATCGCACTGTAAAGTTGAGTATTTTGGAGATGGTGCGGGTTTACTTGATCGCCAACAGCTCTCGGTTGTTGGCTAACTAGTTCTTCAACATAAACGCATTGAGAGTTAAGCATTTGCAGTATTCCTTACCCTATTCTCCCATCTGGCCACTCCAGCTTATGTCTCTTCTATCGAACATCACGGTATTGTTTTGATGTTATGGCGCAGATCGGATGTTTGGTTACTTTTTGGCTCTCTTGAAATTTGCGGACCTTGTCTAGACTGTCGCTTCTCAAGTATGTGCTTGTTGATTATGTGGAGAACTAGAACCTTACGGTCAGTGGCCAAAATAACTAAGAAAGATACGGCTAAAAGGTAGTTGTTGCAAGGTTTATCATTCCGAAATTGTACATTAGCTGGCGAATCAGGCACTTTCGAGTAGTATCAATTAAACAAGACTGTAGGTTCGCTTGCGCTGTGAATATCGACATTTGTCTTGGTGTTAGGGGGAGGACGAGGCTCACAGTTCTCTTGTTGAAGGAGCATAACCCCATTCCAGAGCCTAATGAGTAAGAACATTCCATTTCGATTCACTGTTGTGTGTGTTCTGTGAACTACCAACCATCCGATTGGTGGGTCGAAGTTCATCAGGGCGATGTTCTTAGGTTGGAATCAATAAACACAACGTTGGATTTCTCTTGAGATCCTTTAAACATTAACTTTGTGTGCTTGAGGTTGATGTTGTTATTGAAAGTCGCCCCTTTTGCGGGTATGAGGTGAGCACTTACACACTTCGCACTTGTTTTTAGGCCATGATCGTATGCAAATGCAGCATGACTGAGATGAGAGAAGCACTTCCTCAGTGTCTAGAGATTGGCAGACAAGGGCAACTGGTTGCAATTTTCAAATATAATTCACGCACTGCACTTTACCGTAGATTTGTTTGTGGCTCCGCGACGTTAATGGAAGCAAAAGTCTCGTTTATGCTTATGATTTGTGGTCGACACTCCCTTTATTTTGGTGAAGTTGGATTGGCGAATTTGCAATTCATATTTCTGCTTGTCGACTCTACAACATTAGGAATGAGGGCTTTGGGCCGCATCTTCTTGAATATTTTGACTCCCTATATTTAGACTTAGTGCAGACCAACGCTATTTTATACTCAATGCGTTCCCTCAATATGTTCAGGGTGTCAGCAATGACTTTGTGCAGTTGGTTTAGATGTTTCATCTTGGAATGGTCAAAGTGAGAGAGCAAATGTTGCCACTCCAAACATCTTTGCCCTTGATGTACGAGTGCTCTCTATGACAGACGTTGCATTTTGGTCATCAAAGCCTTCCATTGTGCAACTTGTTGAGAGACCTCTAATTTGCACTTCTTTTACACCAAAGACTGTGCTTTGTGTTGAACACGATGAATCCACTTTCAGTCCACCAGGTGACAGATGCGATATTTTATTAAAAAGAGCTGGCGTTGTCCTTTAGAAACCAGTCTGCCCAAAGGCTGTTTTGAATCAAGAGCTGAAAGAGAGGTGGCACCTACTTCGAGGCCTGCATTGTGTGAACTGCACGTTCTTTTCATTGGTACCCCGTTTCTGTAATTTGACGCAAGATTTTTTGTAAGTTAACAATGCCACTGAGTTTCGCTACTGCTCTTACCTTTCAAAGTAACAAGATTTGCGCTGTGGCTCCCCAAGGTGTGCTCATATAAATGGGGATGAGTGTGAAGTTAGCCTTAATGGCAAATGAGTGGATGTCGATTGCCGCATGCATGCGCACATCGCTTCGCTTTTCAATTGTCAGACAATAATAATTCATGCACTGAAACTGCACATTGGCAATAAAATTGCTAGTGGATTTCATTGAGTTCCTCTGCATTTCCTATTTATGCTTCAATGCCCTTGCAATTGTTCAGCTAAACCTCACAACCGGAGTTAGCACGAAGTTGTGTCGGAAACCGAGTGTACTTATGCTACTCCATGGTCTGCGCGTAGTGCTGCTCTCACCTACAGAGATGAATTCAATGCAACCCAATGGAAGGGATTTGTTTTGCAAAAGGCAGTGGAAGACTGCGTTTTGGATGTCAGCTAACACACGAGGGATTTGGCCAATCCGTGAACCTCTATGAGGGCTGCCCTTGTTTTCCGC